CTCTGTTACATAGTCATTTAGTTTAATTAGAGCTTTTGTCATCCCCTAGTATCGTAGCACTAGAATGATTGTAGGGCTTCCCATTTTCTGCTAGATTTTACATGAGAATACCGGAGATACATTCAACCACTTAAGTAGGTGAATTTTGAAATTTCTCATTGGTCACCGAGCAAAGATCGAGGTAGTGTTGAAGCTCCTTCCAGGTTGCTGAAAGCAAGTGCACGCATATGAAATCATACTGTTCGAAGGGTACCATGAACCACGGTAAGGTGGAAGGTCAGCACGTTGTGCCACTATCGGCCTCGTTATTTCTGGGTCAAACTTTCCATCGGGACACAGGGCTGTTCAGGCAGATGACATGTGTCATGTGTCATGCGAACACATGAAAAAGCGAAAGAGCAAACGATGGAGACTGTTCGGGCGAAAATAGAACCTACATGACTGTCAAATGTATCAGAGACTTTCGTTATGCCACTGCTTCTTCTACTGCTAGCATTGTCAGGCTATATAATACATTTGTACATAAACATTGCATCAGTGTAGCACGATTATGTAAAAATTTGCTTGGCTAGGTTTTCTAGATGAAAAGCGCTAGCAGTGCACCTAAACTTTCACCCTTTTGCAGTTATCACGCATATCTCTCTCCCCACAAACAACTAGCTATCCTTGAGTGTATATATGGTAACCCTGCTTTTTATGTTTGATCACACTTAAATCCACAGGAAGTTGATCGTCTTTCCTTGGCTCATCACGCCTCGACAAACGAGATAAAATCTCTCCGTGAGGAACTCTGTCACCTCAAAAAGGTTCACGAAGCGGTAAGCTCAGAGTTGGTGATCTTTCGAAAGTATCTTGCCTCAAATGCCCATATAAGAGGTCCCTTTCCGATGTCATATCATGCATGAACTGGGTAGGTTACAGGGAAATTTTCAAAAATAGAGCGCGCTGACGGCACATTCTAAGCTTGCTATGTTCACGCCAGGTAAGGTGTTACATGGCGTTTTTTGACAAAATCCAGTTCCTGGGGTTAAAAGGACATCGTGCTTGAAAAAGTCGCGGGTGCCTCGGAGATTACCTAGGACACTGAAAGCATGCACAGCAGGATTGTTTATCCGACCCTGAGTCACGAGGAGGCATATTTGCTGTCGATCATCCTAATCTCCATCCTCCAACCATGATAATAGTTAACCCCCACGCCTCTGCAGAACCAGCCGGGTCATGACTGCTGAACTTAAGGCCGCTGAAAAAATCGACTTTACTCGAAATAAACAAATCTATGCTCAGACATATGCGTCAGCAGCATAAGGGAAAATTTCACATCTAATTAAGTGTCTAATGATAAGCATGACAGATTAAGGCCTTCTACCTGCCCTCAAAGTTGAGTGATAGGCGCAGCATGATTGGTTTCGCAAAAAGAGTCGCTACTTGTGTGTTGCCGTTTGCACCGTTACTAAGGGGGAGCCTGGATTACGTTCAAATGCCGTCTGCTTCCTTGTTTACTCTTCGATAGCAGTAAAAAACAGAAAGAATGCGTGTAATTTCAAGTTGTGGAAGACGTGAGCCCTAAAATGACAGTGGCTAAATTAAGTAATTCTAGTATGGTTGTAGACAGTATTATACGCCAAAATATACTTTTGGCAGTTCTCACGTTTAAGGGACGGGACTTGGGAGAACAAAAACCCTGACAAATATTGTAACCAACTCAAAAACTATTACAGGCCATCGAACGAGAA